AGAGGAGGAGGAGGAGGAGGAGGAGGGAGGAGGAGGAGAGGAGGAGGAGGAGGAGGAGGAGGGAGGAGGCGGAGGAGGAGGAGGAGGAGGAGGAGGAGAGGAGGAGGAGGAGTCGGAGGAGGAGGAGGCGGCGGGACGAGAACAGGACGAGGGCGAGGACGAGGACGATGACGAGGAGAGGAGAGGAGAGGAGGAGGAGGAGGAGGAGAGGAGGAGGGAGGAGGAGGAGGAGGAGGAAGAGGAGGAGGAGGAGGGGAGGGGAGGAGGAGGAGAGGAGGGAGGGGAGAGGAGGAGGAGAGGAGGAGGAGGAGGAGGAGGAGGAGGAGGAGGAGGGAGAGGAGGAGGAGGTAGGAGGAGGAGGAGGGAGGGGAGGAGGAGGAGGAGGAGGAGGAGGAGGAGGAGGAGGAAGAGGAGGAGGAAGAAGAGGACCACTGTGAACCCAAGGCGCATCAACGATGTTGAATTGAAACCTCCCTCCAAGTCCCCTTGCCGTCGATCCCTACAGGATTTTCTGCGTATCGCTGGAAGCGCCCCATTGAAAAACAGTCGTTCGAACATTCCCAATCGTGCAACACATTTTTCTGGAAGTTCATCGCCGTGGGTCACAGTGACTGCTGTGCCCTGCCAGTCCCAAGTCGTGCCAGATCATAATTCCTGGGACTTCAACGCCGCGAATGAACATGGTCCTTGCGTCCTGAATATCCTGCGTCGTCCGAGAACGTCAATCCTGGGACATTAACGGTACGAAGCATTGAAACTGTTGAAACATTGAAAGGCGAATGCGCGCGGCACTCAGTCGAGACCCGCATATTGAAAAGGCGCCGCCCCCCATCTTCGCAATCCTTGCACACTTTGTGAATGCAAATGTGCACGCCGCTAAGGCGTCGCACCGTTTTAAGACGAATATGCGTTTCGCTACCGCATTTTGAAAACCACCCACCCTCAATCTCTGTAGCCGTTGCCATTTTCAAGCTTCGGAGTCATTCACTGTAAGGAAGCATCGCCCGAAGCGCCCGGCTCGCCCCACGGACACGTCTGGGGGGCGACAGGGAGGAAGTATCGCAATGGCCTCCGTCTGGCCAGTGCTGCCGATCCGGGGGCCTCCGGATTCGGTCGTCTTGGAGTCGTCGGGGACGCTGTTTGGGGGGGAGGGCGCTACCGGAGTCGTCAGGGACGCTCTTTGGAGCTGACGTGCCCTCTGTGGAGGTGCCTGGAGCGGTCGCGGGTGGGGTCCGGGGCGGGTTTCGAGGGGAGGGTCCTGGGGGCGGTAGCGGTTAGGACCCCCCGAAACATTTTGGGGATGCGCAAATCATTAGGAAAACGCCAGATGGGGGACCGCCCCCCCCCCTCCCCCCCTTCCCCGGCAGAACCACCCTGGCGACCCCCCCCAAGCAGAGCTGAAGCTCTTGCTTAGGCTCAGAGCTGAAGCTCTTGCTGAGGCTCCTTGTAGTTCACACGCCGGATCGGCGGATTTAAGGAAACAAGCAAAGAGGATGGGGGAGGTAAACGAGGAGGAACAGCACGGGAAGGAAGAAAGGGGAGGAGGCGGAGGGTGATGATGATGATGATGATGATGATGATGATGATGATGATGCTGATGATGATGCTGATGCTGATGCTGATGCTGATGCTGCTGATGATGATGATGCTTATAATGATGAAGATGATGATGACGATGATGCTGATGATGCTGACGATGATGATGATGATGATGATGATGATGGTGATGATGATGATTGTGGTGATGCTGCTGCTGATGATGATGATGGTGTTGGTGGTGGTGATGCTGATGATGGTGAATGATGATGGTGATGCTGATACTTATGATAATGATGCTGCTGATGATGATGCTGCTGATGATGATGATGCTGATTGTGGTTACGATTATGATGATGGGGATGCTGAGGATGGGGATGAGGATGAGGATGATGATCATGATGCTGATGATGATGATGATGATGATACTGATGCTGTTGCTGATGATGGTGATTATGGTGATGATGATGCTGCTGATGATGATGATGCTGATGCTGCTGCTGCTGATGATGATGAGGATGCTGATGATGAGGATGATGATGCTGCTGATGATGATGATGCTGATGGTGATGCTGCTGATGATGATGCTGTTGCTGATGATGATAATGATGATGGTGGTGGTGGTGATGATGATGATGACGCTGATGATGATGATGCTGATGATGATGATGATGATGATGCTGATGATGATGTTGATGCTGATGATGGTGATGATGATGATTGTGGTGATGCTGCTGATGAAGATGATGATGCTGATGATGATGATGATGATGATGATGATGATGATGATGATGATGATGATGATGATGATGATGCTGATGATGATGATGATGATGATGATGATGATGATGATGATGATGATGATGATGATTATGATGATGATGGTGGTGGTGGTGGTTGTGATGCTGATGATGATGATGATGATGACGATGAGGAGGAGGAGGAGGAGTAGGAGGAGGAGGAGGAGGAGGGATGGCTGCGTGTGAACGATCTTGCCGCCACCATATTCCATACCCCAGGCAGGTGAAGGGGAGTAATGGGAGGAAGAGGAAGATGAGGAGGAGGAGGAGGAGGAGGAGGAGGGGAGGAGAGGAGGAGGAGCAGGCGAGGAGGGAGGAGGAGGAGGGAGGAGGAGGAGGAGGAGGAGGAGGAGCAGGAGGAGCAGGAGGAAGCGTTTGCCCCGCCGATCCCCCGCCCCTCCCCCCAAGCGCACGCTCAGGGGTGGTCAGCCCGCACGTCCTCGCGGGGTGCGCCTTCCAATGTGGTGCCGGAGGCCAGGCCGCGGCGCGGGCTCTCTCTCTCTTTCTCCTCCTTGTCCTCCTCCTCCTCCTCCTCCTCCTCCTCCTCCTCCTCCTCCTCCTCCTCCTCCTCCTCCTCCCCCACCCGTCCCATTTTCCCGTATCCTGTCTTGCCTTCTCTCGGCTCCGTCTGTCTGTCTGTCGGCGCCTGCCTGCCTGCCTGCCCGCCTGTCTGTGCGCCTGCCTGTGTCCCTGTCTTCTCTTCGCCCTTCCCTTAAGTCGGGCCTGTCCCTCTACAGGGGGTAGTCAAAAATTGTCAGGGGACTATTATTTGATTTGTTTTTGCCATTTTGAAGTACTTTTTGAATACTTTTTATTGTTCGTCCAAAATCCCCCTGTAGGGGGACATGCCCGACTTACCCTTCCTCCTCTTCCCCTCCCCCCCTCGCTCTCCCCATCCTCGGGGGCCTCCTCGAGGTCTCAGGGAGGGCTCCTGGGAGACCTCCCAGAGGGGGAGGGGAGGCCTCCCGAGAGACCTCCGGGAGGTAGAGGTAGGTCGCCACCCTTACCCTGAAATCGGGCCTGCACCTCTACAGGAGGAACATTCAAAAATAGGGGAAAAAATAGTCTGGGGACGATTTTTTTGACCATGTTTGAGCATTTTGGGGGCATGTTGGGAGTATTTGTAATTTTTCGCCCAGAATCCCACTGTGGGGGGACAGGCCCCAGAGATCCGACGTGGCGAAAGAATTGCAACATCGTGAGAATCCGCGCCCAGAGCCCCGGACTCCATTTTTCTGCATCATCTTTCGAGCCGGATCGACCTGTGAGGGTCCTGGGGCCCGAGAAGAGGCGAACACGCCCGGCTCGAAAAAATGGCGTCGCCAGGAGTAAGTCGGGCGTGTCCCCCTACAGGGGAGGGGGATTTTCGACGATGGATAAAACATGGCCCAAAAAACAGCCAAAACATAATCAACAAATCATATGGGGACTCTTTTTTTTGTTCAATTTTTTTTGACCTTTTTGGGGTATGTTGGGTTTTTTTTCGTTCCTCGAAAATCCCCCTGTATGGGGACAGGCCCGACTTAATGCAAGGGCTCCCACGAGGGCGCGAAGTTATTCGCGGTTCGCGCTTCGCGGTCCTCGTTCCTTCTCCCCCTCCTCCTCGTCCTCCTTTTCTCCCTTTGGGGGGGCGGCGCGAGAGCGCGAAGTTATTCGCGCTTCGCGCTTCGCGGAGCGCGAAGCGCGAAGCTGGGAGCCCTTGCTTGCGTGCCCGGCGCCGGCGTCCGTGCGCGGGCCCGGCACGCGCAGCCTCTCCCTGGGAGCCCCCGCGGGCATCGCGCGGGTGCCCTCCGCCCGGGGCCCCGGGCACGGCTGGGCTTACGTCGGGCCTGTCCCCCTACAGGAGGAGGGAGCGTAAGACCCGGGTTTGCCAGGACTCGGGCTCGCCATCGTTTTTTGACGACCGCGCCTCGGATTTTGACGAGGAGGAGTTTCGTGGGATGTCTGCAGCGGGAGGCCTCGTCAAAATGCAGGCTCGGCCTCGTCATTTTTTTGACGACCTCGTCGGGGATTTCCGAGTCCCCTGTACCCGGGTCTTACGCCCCCCTGATACAGGAGGAGGGAGGGAGGGAGGGGAGGGAGGGAGGGAGGGGAGGCAGGGAGGGGAGGGAGGAGGGAGCCATTGGATCAAGGACCAGTCCCGGGGGAAGGCCTCGGGGTCCAGGGCACGCCTCCCTCGGAGCCTCTCCCCTTGGCCCTTCGGGGCCACGCTCACTTTAAGTCGGGCCTGTCCCCCCACAGGGGGATTTTCGACGAAGGATAAAAATATCCCAAAGATAGCCAAAAAATAGTCCAGAAATAGTCTGGGGACTATTTTTTGAGTATGTTTGGGGCTTTTTGGTGTATTTTGGGGGTCTTTTTGATTTTTCGTCGAAAATCCCCGTGTAGGGGGACAGGCCCAACATAAGGCTGGGCCGCTGGCTTCACTGCGCGCGGACTCGCCACCCACCAATCTGCACGAACGAGATGGGCACGGAAAGAATTGGTAATTACAATGCCCAACAGCAGTTCCTGTTCATTTTGAACAGGATTCGCTGTCCACGCCGTCGCGGCCTATGTCCACTCGAGGCAGAAGGGGTGGGATCGGCTGTCTAGGGGGCCACGTGCGAACCCTACCCCTACCCCCCACGATTTCTGAGGGGGAGGGTGGGGTTCACTTCGCCCGGGAGCTCCCGCCCGAAGTACACCCCACCCTCCCTCTCAGAAATCGTGGGGGGCAGGGGCAGGGTTCGCACGTGGCCCCCTAGATGTCGGGGAGCGGCGCGAGTGCACGTGTCTTGTCTCGGGCCTCTCTCCTCCCTCCCCCTGCCTGCCCCTGCGCTTCTGACCCCCCCCTCCCCCTGCGCTGTTGCTCGGCTCCTCTGTGTGTTCTGTCTGCCTCCCTCTCTCTCTCTCTCTCTCCCTCTGTTTAGGGGGACAAGGAGTGACATAAACATAACAACTCGGAGGTCCGCGCGGATTTCTCGGACCGGCGCTGGACCCCCCTCCCTGGCGCGCGGAGCGCGCCAGGGGCGGCGCCGGAGGCGCCGCCGGGGGGCCCCGGCGCCGATCCAATAAATCCGCGCGGACCTCCGAGTTTTTTTATGTTTATGTCACTTGTTGTTCCTCTATTTTTACTCTGCCATGCAGCGTTTCTCATCTCGAGAGCAGGCTGAACGCGTGCGACTCGAGAGCCCGTGGCGGAGCGGCCATCGAGGAACTCCCTTCGCTTCGCCGCTGTCGTCCATCTCTGTTCCCACTTCGTGTCCCCCCCTCCTCCTAGGCCCACCTGCAACGATCTTGCGGGAGTTTTGCCCGCGATTCAGGGGAGGAAGAGGCCCTGATACCGCTGCTAGTCCTGGAGAGCCCTCGTCTCATGGCGCCCACATCGCAGAGCGGACTGCGCTCGGAAAGTGATAGGATGGGCCCGGAGCGCCCTGGAGCATCTCGTTCCGGAGTTCGAGGTGAATTTCGTGCGGACCTTTTCGTTTGGCCAGGAATCAAGACTACAGTCAACGCGCCTAGTAAGGACGCGCGCCTTCATCTAGGGTACCCTTGTGTCCTTGCCTCTGCGGCCCGTCCTTTGCCGTTTTCACTGGTCGCCCGCAGCCCACAAAATCCCAACTTCGGCCTCCAAGGGTGTTGCGTCCTTACCGTCCGTCCTTAATGCACGTTTTGGCTGTGAAAGCAATCCACATGAGATTCACCTCGTTTTTCGCTCGCCGCTTCGGGGCAAACGTCCGCTGCAGCACACGTGTGCACGGGGGGGCGCGCCGGCTCGTGTGGCCACGGCTGGGCCCTGCTCGAAAAGTCTGGCCAGAGAGCGCCCCGAGAGGGGTGCAGGGAGCAGCAGCACTGGTACCCCTCTCTGTTCCCCCAGGGATGCGCCCAAGAGCCCAGTGTTTGGGAGGCTGGCGAACACATATTATAATTATGCAGATATTGATATACACATATGAAGGACATATCTATATATATATAGAGAGAGAGAGAGAGAGAGAGAGAGAGAAAGAAAGAGAACGAACAACAAAAGAAAGAGAGAAAGAGAGATCATGAGAGAGAGAGGAGACGGAGGAGATAAAGAGGGACATATTGAAAGAGAGAGGGAGGCGTGCTGTACATCGGGCCCCGCAGGAGTGGAAGATCCCCAGCTTTTTCGACCCGGACGCCTTCCCCATCGACGTTTTCCGTCCACAGGCGCGCCGCTTTCCATCCCCTTCTTTCTTCATCTCCTCCTTCTCCCCCTCCTCCTCCTCCTCCTCCTCCTCCTTCCAGCCTCCTCCTCCTCCTCTCCCCTCCTCCTCCTCCTCCTCCTGCCTCCTCCTCCTCATGCCCTGCCCCCTCTCCCATCCACCTCCCGCCTCCCAGGTTAAGGGCCTGGCAGGTTTGCGTCGTGGCGCGCCGCGGCAGCAGCTCCGCCGTGGGCGCTCGATGCTGGACGCCGCAGTTGGCCGTGCACACCAGAAAGAATCTCGAGCACCAAACAGGTGCCGAAACTCGACGGTTTTCACGTGTCGGGCCCTGGGAGACACTCGCCCGACACTGTTTCGACACTCTTTCGACACTTTTCCGTGTGCTCGAAACTCTTTTTGGGATGTGGTCCTTAAGTACGATGGGGGCAACATGACAGTTGGCCCAGAAGCGTCCGATAGGGGAGGATCTGGCGACCGCAGAGCCGTCGATCGTTCACGATTGAACGATCCACCGGTGTCAGAAACCACCGCTCGGGTCGTCGGCGCCCGTACCTGCCGTAGGCGAGGTGAGGGGGGGGGAGGGGGGGGAGGGGGAAGTGCAGTGGAGGCCCATGCCAAGAAGCACCCTGCTTGCCTCCCGGGTGCCCTGGGCTTCTTGGGTTTCGATGGTTCTGCCGTGGAAAGCGCGACGTTCCCACACCAGGAGTCAGTGGACGTCCTGGGGTCTCCGGGTTGGGCTTCTTGTGGAAGGTCTCTTCTCGTGGTCGAGCTCCTGCCCCAGACATGCGGCGTCCTGATTTTTGTCAGGACGGCGTCCCATGGAATTCCCGACTCTTTCCCCGGGACCGTTTTTTTGTCCCGAGTCGTGCTCTGACGGCCCCGGGGCCCGGCGAGGGCCCCCCGGGGCCGAGGATGGCCCAAGACCTCCCGTCTGGATCTTTTCACGACGCGATCCTGTCTGGGTCTGACTCGCTCGCCAAGAGCCTTGGGTCTTCGGCTTGGGTCTCTTGTGGTAGGTCTCTCGTGGTCGAGCTCCTGCTGCAGCTCACGACGCCAGCGTGGCCCAGGGCGGGTCGGCACGCCGCCGGCGTCGGATCACGCACCACCTCTCGTCGAACCCCCTCGGGCGGGACTCCTGCAGCGGCGCAAAGGGGAGGCGGAGGACCAGGAGGATGAGGAGGAGGAGGAGCAGGAGGAGGAGGCGGATGAGCCCTGGAGGAGGAGGAGGAGCCCTGGAGGAGGAGGAGGAAGAGGAGGAGGAGCCCTGGAGGAGGAGGAGGAGGAGGAAGCAGACGAGGTACTCGGGCCGAGAGCGATCAGATCAAAGCTGGGCTCGAGGCTACAGTTTTCCATTATCGGCATCACGACGGGTCAAAGAAGCCCATCCAGTTTCATGGCGCACGTGCGCTGCGACGGGCGCGCGAAGGTTCCGCCAACCGGTTGGAGGCCAGTCTCAAAGGCCAGTCTCAAACAAGGAGGGGGATTAGCACATGCCATCACCAAGAATGTCGAGGTGGATCGGAGGAGGAGAATGTTCCCATACCACCACACCTCCCTCGTTGTCCCCTGTTGGGCCTCCTGGGAGGCTCTCGTCGCCACCGCTGGATTCGCTTCGAAATTCTTGTCAGAACGCACCCCGATTGAGGTCCAGGGAGTAGCGGTATCGGTACCTTTTTTTCTCCCACGTGGAGGTCACCCCAGAGGAGGCGGACACCACAGTTCTCGAGGAGGCCGTTTTCACGGAGCCCCAGGAGATCTTCGAGGCCAAGACCAAGTTTGTAGCCAGTATTGGGACACCCCGGAACCTCAAAGAACTGGAGGCCATGTCGGAGCTCTGGATCCAGGAAATGAGGGAGGAGGCCATGGGTGATATGGAGGAGGGTAGGACTGGGGTAGGGAACAGGTCGCCAAGGTATTCAAGACTTTCCCAGGATCCTCAGCCACGGGAATTGATCAGTGGCGGGTTCCTGGTTTGCAGCGTTCATCTAAGGTTAAGACGGGCCTGTCCCCCTACAGGTTGATTTTCGACGAAAAATAAAAAATATTCAAAAAATATTCCAAAATGGTCAAAAATATTGAAACAAATAGTCCCCAGACTATTTTTGGACTACTTTTGGATTACTTTTGGGGTATGTTTTATTTCTCGTCGAACATCTCTCTGTAGGGGGACAGGCCCGACTTAAACCTAAGGTGGGCCTAAATGAGCTGACCAACCTCTTAAATGCCATCGATCGGAGGCAAGCCATGCCCGTCGAATGCTTGGCGAACCTTGATGCCTTGAAACCCAAGTCGGTCACAGCAGACCAACCTCTCACACTCACGCCGTCGCCGTACAGGCTGCCCATGCGTATGAGGAGGGGGAGATCGGGATCTGGGAACAAGCCAAATCAAGACATTGGGATGCAGCCATTCAGGGGTCGAGCTGTTCTTGCGCTGGCATCATCTCGAAGCCTTTTGCGGAGATAGGAGGTGCTTTGAAGATCACGATGGTGGAGGTCCTGATCCGCTGCACTAGGCGCACCTGAAGGCTTTCAGAATCACCCTCATGACATGGGTAGACGATCTGCGCGTGAAGAGGGTCGACTCCGTCAACGCTCTGAAGGAACAGCATCCAGAAGTGCTGGTGTTCCTCAAGGAAAGGCTCGAAGATCTAGGATGTCGGCTATCCCCGAAGCCAGACATCCTCTCAAACAACAGCAGCCTCAGGAATTACATCGTCGAGGTTGGGACCCAGGGCGGCATTCGGCTCCAGGGGAAGCTCGGAACCAGGGACGTTGGGCTGGTCGCGACCGTGGGCATCATGAGGTTTCTGAAGATCAGGAAGGCGAGGCACAAGTTGGGAGTCAAGAGCCTCAAGACAGTCAGGAGGCTCCAAGGTCACCGAGTTCGACTTCAGCTTCATTGGGGTCCCGAGGGGCACGGAGTGGCACCCACCGAGACTGCGCCACCTGAGAGCGGCAGGGGGCCCATTTGGAGCCAGCAAATCAGGTAATTGTCTCACCGCAGGCCTGCACCGTGCACCACTTGGAGTCAGCAACACAGGTAGTTGTCTCACCGGCCCAACCATTTTTCTCGGGGTCAAGTGGTTCGAGCAGTGACTCATAGCCACAGCTTCGCGAAGGTATCCGTACGACGTGGGGGCCAAAGCAGGAGAGACGCCAGGGGGCCCACAGATGGGACGAGGTCTACAGCCACATCAGCGCCGTCATCGGGACCCTCTTGTCAAGGGAGGACAAGCCACCCGGACCGCACAATTGGCGTTTACTCAACGGCCCTGGGCGTCTATTAAGCAGCCCTGCCCTGTTCGATTCTTTCTCTGGGCGCGTCTACTAAACGACTTCGCGTGTCGGGGTGGTTATTATCGGGGTGGACTTCAGCTGGGAGCTCATGCAGCGTGGTCCTGGGATAGCTCCAACAGGAGATGTGCTCGAGGCTACGCCTGGAGAGTACCCAGCCCAGGCTTTTTGTTGTTCTTAAATGTTTAGGTTTCAGTCGGGCATGTCCCTCTACGGGGTGAATATTCAAAAATAGTCAAAACACAGTCTGGGGACGTTTTGTTGACATTTTTTTTTTTTTTTTTTTTTTTTTTTTTGTATATTGGAGGTATTTTTTATTTTTCGTCCCAACTCCGCCTGTAGGGGGACATGCCCGACCTAAGTTTAGGTTCCAGAAGCAGCTGGGACAGAACGTTTGAAGTGGAGCTCTTAGTGCGCACAATGCAGGGCTGTGTCCAGACGGGCATCGGTGTCACCAGCACCTGGTGGCAAGTGGAGCGGCTCTACTCAACGGCACCGTAACGGGTACTTACTAACGGGTACTTTGCGATTTTGCCGAAAGTTGCCACTTTAGGGCGTCTCTTAGGGGGACATGCCCGACCTAAGTTTAGGTTCCAGAAGCAGCTGGGACAGAACGTTTGAAGTGGAGCTCTTAGTGCGCACAATGCAGGGCTGTGTCCAGACGGGCATCGGTGTCACCAGCACCTGGTGGCAAGTGGAGCGGCTCTACTCAACGGCACCGTAACGGGTACTTACTAACGGGTACTTTGCGATTTTGCCGAAAGTTGCCACTTTAGGGCCTCTTTCTGGCAATGCAGCGTTGCCCGCATCGGGAAGGGTTGGGTTCGCTGGGTCACTGGCCAAAGTACGCGTTAGTGGAGTCCCCGTGTGTGGGGCGCTGATCTACAAGGACGGGATTGAAGCATCCAGCCGACGCGCTGGAGGCAGGGATGAGTCGTGCAGCTCCGGGACCCACGGAGGAGGTTCGACGCAGATGTGCAGTCTGCTGGTTGCCCGACCTGTGGAGGCCACTGCTGCGATGATGGGCCCACGTTATGTGGTCAGGAGAGTCGTCCTCCTCCTCCTCGTTCTCGTTCTCCTCCTCCTCCTCCTCCTCATCCTCCTCCTCCTCCCTGTTTTGCTCCTCATCCCTCTCCTCCTCCTCCTCCTCCTCCTCCTCCTCCTCCTCCTCCTCCTCCTCCTCCTCCTCCTCCTCCTCCTCCTCCCCCAGGGGTGCGGCGGTTTGGTCAGAGCGGTTTCGTAGGCTCGGAACTTTACCAGGTAGGTAGCAGGGGTCCACACCATCAGCTGTGCTGAGTTCAGCGGGGCCCTTGGGCTCCCCATTCGCACAAGAGGGGGATGAGGAGGAAGAAGGGGACCAGTGTAAGTCCAAGGTTCATCAACGCTACTGCAATAAGTCTTCCCTCCGAGCTCCCTCGTTTGCAAGACAACAGTTTGACAAGTCTGATCCGTGCCAGAACAACACTCGTGGGGATTCGACGCCGCGAGGCACCGTGACTGTTGCGTCTTGACGATCCTGAATCGTACCACAGCACCGTTCGTGGGGCTCAAACACGGCGCCCTGGCAGTCTGACATAGTGTCAGAACTGTTTCAGGGGCGTTAATCGCCTTGAAACTGCTTTTAAAACCTAGTACAACTGTGCGCGGCGTTATGGCAAGAAACACCCCATCTGTGAAGCTCCTGCGTTTGTTACAGATGCATGTGCGCTGCGGTGATGCGATAACCACATTTTAAACAAATGAGCTGCGCTCCATCCGTGAAGCTCTTGCACAGATTAAGACGGGTGCGCGCATCGCTAGGGCGAGAAACACATTTTGAGAGCGTCTAACCGTTTATTCGTGACCGTCGTGCGACTTTTAAATCACGAACGCACGCGTCGCTAAGGCGACATTCACATTTTGGAAACGGCCCGCCCTCCATCTGTAAAGCTCTGGAACGCTTTCACCTTAGTGATGATAAGTGCTGATGAATCCCGCCCTACCGACACGCCTCGGTCGGACAGGGAAGAGTTATGTATAAGGAAGGCGGACAAAGAGGAGGAGGAGGAGGAGGAGGCGGATGAAAAGGAAGAGGCGGATGAGGAGGAAAGGGGGAACAACGGGAGGGAGACAACTTGCATGCGAAGGCGGCTGGGCAGAGGGAAAGGTGGGGAGGGGAAGGGGACTGACAGCAGGCGGAGGGGTGACAGGAGCAGCAATAGGAGGGACACGTGTGGGGGAGAGGAGGTATGGGAGGAACACGGGCCGCTCGAGGGCGTTCGCGTACGACCTCTTGGCAGATCCGGCCGCATCCGAGAATGGCGGGCTCCGCCCGCGCCGCGGCGAGGCGTAAGATCACATGGGGAGGAGGAGGAGGAGGAGGAGGAGGAGGAGGAGGAGGAGGAGGAGGAGGAGGCGGAGGAGGAGGAGGAGGAGGAGGAGGAGGAGGGAGGAGGAGGAGGAGGAGAGGAGGAGGAGGAGGAGGAGGAGGAGGAGGAGGAGGAGGAGGAGGAGGAGGAGGAGGAGGAGGAGGAGGAGGAGGAGGAGGAGAGAGAGGGAGGAGGAGGAGGTAGAAGGGTAGGAGGAGGAGGAGGAGGAGGAGGAAGAGGAGGAGGGGGAGGAGGAGGAGGAGAAGAAGGAGGAGGGAGGAGGAAGAGGAAGGAGGAGGAGGAGGAGGAGGAGAGAGGAGGAGGAGGAGGAGGAGGAGGAGGAGGAGGAGGAGGAGGAGGAGGAGGAGGAGGATTTTTTCACTGTGTGCATCGCCAAGCCAAACTCTGCAGGCAGGTTAAAACTGGGCGGAAGAAAATGGCGGGGAACACGGGCCCCTACTTGCCCTCGAAGTTCATGAAAGCGACGAGCGGCTTGAAAATGAAGAAAAGCACGAAGCCGACTACGACGCAGAACAGCGACGCCTCAGAGCAGAAATCGCCGTAACGCTGAAGCCAAAGCGTAAGATCCTCAGCTCGAACAGGCACCCGCACTCTCCTCGTGCTCCACACCGACCTCGAAACACGTGACGAGATCGTGAAAGTCCATTTCGCCAGCACGTGCAAGAGAAACATAGGCTTCCTGCAGAATGGGCGAGGCGCGCCACCAAGCTGCACGGAACCTCGCCTCGAGCCTCTTCCACTGACGCGCTGGCACCACCTTGGACTTGTTCTTCATGAAGACAATGACGTCCTTCAGCGCAGAGCGAACGTCGTCAGCCGACGCCCGCAAGGACCCTCCGCTCGCTGAAGCTGAAATCGCACTCTGAGCACGCACCGCTGCAGCAAAAGACGAAGAATCGTCGCAACAAAAGTGCCCATCCTCGCTATCCTCGCTCTGGCCATCAACCTGGTCAGGAAATGAATTAAGAACTTCATCAGGAATATCCCGTGCAAGAACCTGAGGTTCGTGAACAACCTGTCGGACTCCAGGCCGAGGCCTCTGGGGGCTGAGGCTGCGCAGCATTTCACTCCTGGTCAGGTCCAGGAGCTGGGGCTCGAACTTTCGGGCCGCCGCGCAGTTACCCCTCAGGCCGCGCTGCTGCCCCCTGCATGCGAAGCGATGGTGATTCTGCAAGTGCGCGTTTCGAGCTCACCGTGCCCGTCGGCTGCGAGGTCGAGTTCAAGTGTGTGGTCAGGCCTTGCGGAGCCGCCGCCTATCCATCCTCCACCTGGCGATCTACGTGCGCTGCGCCCACCCAAGGAATGGCTGGGAGCACGGAGTTCGCTGACGGACGTTTCGCGCCAGAATGTGACAGTTACGTCTCACTTGTACCAGTCCCTGCTGTGCCCGTTCTCCACCTACGCCACGGTCCAGCTGCAGAACCTCAAGGCCATGGGTATGGCGCCCAGCAAGGACATGAGCGAGCAGCTGGACACCAAGACGGAGATCGAGCGGAAGGGGAAGTTCGGGCGCGTGAAGGACGACGACGGGATGAAGACGATCAAGCATCTGGGCAAGAGGAGCGGCAGCCTCAGCGAGAAGGGCATCTTCGTGGGCAAGTTCGAGCAGAATACCTGCGCGGCGAAGGATCTGCCGCCGCCTGCGGCAAGGATGCCCAGCTTTCGGTCTCAGGCGCCGGAAGTGGTGTTCAAGGGGGAGTTCAAGGGCCGCGGGGAGGAGAAGGAGGAGCTGGTCAAGCTGAAGCGGGTGCTGAAGACCCCTCGTTCTCCGCCGCCTTCGAGGTTTCCCAACGCCCCATGGAGGAAGAGGCGCGCAGCTACGGGAAGCAGGAGTCAGCGTTCGTAGAGGATGGCGAGGACGACAAGCTTGCCGAGAGCGCGCCGATCTTTTTCGACATCGCCGAAGGGGATCCTGATGTTCCCGACCTCCAGGGACCAGTTCAGCCTCGTGAAGAAGGAGGGGAGGAGGAGGAGGAGGAGGAGGAGGAGGAGGAGGAGGAGGAGGAGGAGGAGAGGAGAGGAGGAGGAGGAGGAGGAGGAGGAGGAGGAGGAGGAGGAGGAGAGGAGGAGGAGGAGGAGGAGGAGGAGGAAAGGGAGGAGGGAGGAGGAGGGGAGGAGGAGGGAGAGGAGGGGAGGAGGAGGAGGAGGAGGAGGAGGAGGAGGAGGAGCAGGGGATATGGGGGAGGTGGAGGAGGAGGAGGTGGGACGAGCAGGAACAGTAGGAGGAGGAGGAGGAGGAGGAGGAGGAGGAGGATGAGGAGGAGGAGGAGGAGGAGGAGGAGGAGGAGGACGAACAGGAGCAGGAGGAGGAGGATGAGGACCTTGAGATCCGGGCGTTCATGGTTCGAGCAATCTAGCGCAAGTATTGGGCCTGTGGCTCCAGTGATGATATTCGCGATGGTGGGTTTCTGTTCGCAGTTTCGGATCTCAGGGGGAGGAGCAGCATGAGGAGGAGGAGGAAGAGGTGGAGGAGGAGGAGGATGAGGAGGAGGAGGAGGAGGAGGAGGAGGAGGAGGGGGAGGGGGGGGAGGAGGTGGAGGAGGAGGAGGAGGCCACCTCTTTGTCCACCTCTCTGGACGTCCCTCCTCCCCCGTGCCCGCCCCTCCCTCCGCCTCCCCGCCAGCCCCTCGCCCTCTTCGCGGCGGCGGTGGAGGAAGGCGACCTCTCTCCCCCTGCCTTTCAGTCGGGCCTGTCCCTCTACAGGAGGAATATTCGAACATAGTCTATCATGATCTGGGGGGCGATTTTGCGAGTATTTCTGAGCATGTTTGGAGCATTGTTCTGCTATTTTTCGTTCAAGATCCGCCTGTGGGGGGACAGGCCCGACCTAACCCTACCTCTCCTGCTTCCCCCCGCTCGCTTTTCCCGTCTCTCGTCCCTTTCCCCTCGACTGGCCCAGTCGTTCAACGGCCGCAACTTGGCGAAGCTCTTCCTGCCAGAGGACCCGCACCTCGCGACTGCCGGCTCGGTGTGCTGCTTGATGCGACTTGCCAGAGCAGGGCTGTCAACGACTCGATTCGATCGATTCTTTCCCTTGCGCTGTATTCGGCCAGTTGTGTTCGCTTGGCAGTGCTGCGGTGCGTTCAGTCTATCGCTCATTTCGATGTTGTCTTATTTCGATGCCGCCGAGATCTCTGTATCGTTGCGGACAGCTGTTGCACTCCAGAGGCGCGGTATTCGCAGCGACTGCGTGCACGCGGTCGGCGTCACAACCGATTTTCTAATGCTATGTGTGCGTCGCCCGCCAGGGGCGACGCGCGCACCGAGAAATCTTATCGTATAAGCTCCGTGGCGAGCGCTTTCTGGCCGTACCGCTCGGCAAACGAAATACGATCATGTGTTCTTGCAATGTGATGTGATCGGACGCACCCCTCCAAGAAGGACGCATGCTCCGAGTAGGGGATCGGCTGAAGAATTGTTTCCCCAGAGTTCTTTTTCCGTCGAATCTGCGAACAGCTATTCAGCAGTTCTGTCGATCTGGGAACCATTCCGGGCCTCTGTTCGCAGATCTGGCGAGAAGAGTCAGTTCTGGGGCCCTCGGCGTTCTCGTCGATTCCCTGCCCGAGTGCTACCAGTCTGTCCTTCTGCGCCCTGTGCTCTTTCAGGCGATCGCAAAAATGGATCAGAGGGGGCGTGGATTAGCGACGGATCCCGTTTTCATGAGAAATCGCGGATTTCCGCCGCCGAGCGAGGCAGCACCGGCCGCACTTTGGGGAGGGCGCCTCCCCCGATCCATGGATCGGGTCGGGCGAAAGGGGGGGTTTGGGAAAGGGGGGGTTACGAAATCTGCTGCATGTAGCTGGTTTCGGCCCCACCGAGGGGCCCATTCCTCGATACATAGCCGCCTCCGGCGCTGGGAGGCGCCGGGAAAATCAGCTACGTGAGCTGATTCTCACCCCCCCCCTTTGCTATCCCCCCCTTTCGCCCGGCCCGAATGGATCTGGCGACCGCGCGCCAAATCCACGGATCGCTAATCCGTGCTGGCGCGCCCCCGACTCTTGGAGGCCTCTGGCCCCGGCCCTGCCGCACACACGGCCAGGCTTAAGTCGGGCCTGTCCCTCTACAGGGGGAACATGAACAAATGTCAAAAAATAGTTGGGGGACCATTTTTGTCTATTTTTGGGCATCTTTTAAGCATGTTTTGTGTATTTTTGGAGTATTATTGGGCATCTTTCGAGTATTTATTGTGGAGCATTTTTTATCCTTCGTCCCAAATCCAGCTGTAGGGGGACAGGCCCGACGTAAGGCCAGGCCTGCGGCGGCTCCCGCGCCGCGGCGGCGGCGCCCCGGCGCGCCGCCCGCGCCCGCCGCTTGCCGAGGGCCCGCCGCGCGGGCGGCACGGTGGCCCGCAGGGGGGGAGGAGCGAGGACGCAGATCTCGCGGCGGCCAGCGTCGTCGCCGTCGTCGTCGCCGTCGTCGTCGCCGTCGTCGGCGTCGGCGTCGTCGTCGTCGCCGTCGTCGGCGTCGGCGTCGGCGTCGTCGCCGTCGTCGTCGTCGGCGTCGGCGTCGTCGTCGGCGCCGTCGTCGTCGGCGGCGTCGGCGTCGGCGTCGTCGTCGTCGGCGTCGGCGTCGTCGCCGTCGCCGTCGGCGTCGTCGTCGTCGTCGTCGCCGTCGTCGTCGTCGTCGTCGTCGTCGTCGTCGTCGTCGGCGTCGGCGTCGTCGTCGTCGTCGCCGTCGCCGTCGGCGTCGGCCTCGGCGTCGGCGCCGGCGTCGGCGTCGGCGTCGGCGTCGGCGTCGGCGTCGGCGTCGTCGGCGTCGTCGTCGTCGTCGTCGTCGGCGTCGCCGCCTTTCCCCCCCCCCCAGGTTCCGAGGACGGGGGACCCCCCCCGGGGTTTCTGGGGGGTGGGGGCGGGCATTTTCTCCAAGCAGGCGCCGCCCGCAGGGCTCGTTTCGATTCCTGATTCGATTCGACTCGATTTCGACGGGCTCCGATTCCGATTCGATTCGACAGATTCCGATCTGGATTGCGATTTCTCAGTGGAGGCCTATTATACTAGCCTTCCGATTTCTGCCGATTCGACTTCTCCCGACTCGGCTGCCGATTTCCTCCGATCCGATTCATTTTGATCGCCTATCCGACTTATCGATTCGATGTTGGGCTCTCCTGGGGGGGGAAGTGAGAAGGAGGAGGCCTTCTTAGAAGACTTCTCAGAAGGCCGATGTACTTCTGAGCCTTCTGAGAAGGCCCGTGCCCTGTCGCTTCCCCTCTGGGTGCGCCGCCGAGAGGTCGCAAATCTTGCAATCGGTGAGTCAGTGAGTTTCAGGAGGGAAAAAACACACAGACACAATTAATCGTCGAGTCCCAAGAAACTGAGGGACATATGGGAAGTGTGGGGGAAGACAAAACCCCAGAACATATGGGAAACTATGGTGGATCCGTTTATGTGTGTTTCTTTATTTGTGTGTCCCAGGGACCCTTCATGAGTGCGTGGTCGCTGTTTTTTGATGCATCGTTTCGCCCATCGGCGCGGGCTCCCGCCCTTTCACCCCTGCGCTCCCCCCTATCGAGCAGATCCCGGCTGCTTTGGGCGGCTGCCCTTGGCGCTGTGCCAGGGCCCCTCCCCCGAGTCTGCTCGTGCGACTTGCTGAAGCAGATGGGCTAAGCACTGGCCCAGGCCCAGCACGCTCCCCGCCCTCCCCCACCCTCCGGCCAAATATCGACATCCAGAGTATCAAGAACGCCGACCTGGGTGTACGGCTTCAACGATGGCTTGGCATCGCTCGGACGTGTGCATTTTTCCTTCGGCGAGGACCAGCGAGGAGCATCCTTGATCACTTGGCGAAAAAAACACGCAACAAAACACAGGGAATGGACGTCCGAGCGATGGCGAGATGGTCTGTACTAGGCGTTGGAATCGTTCTTTTGAGGTCTTCTTGGCTTCCCGCGGGGGGGTCGGGGCCTCCTGTTGCCTTCTCGGGTCCTTTTCTGGCCTCTCTGGAAGCGTTTGGGGCCAGCTGGGAGCTTCTGGGGGTCCATCTAAAGTGCGAGGTTTACGAGGGGCGTGCGAACTGAAGCTCTTTGGAGCCGTCTTGTGAAGCCAGCTGAGCGCCTCTGGCGGGTCTTGGGACATGACGTGCGTGAGGGGTGTGCCGGATTGAGGCTCCCCGCAGCCGCCTTCAGGTGTCAGCGGATGACCTCTCGACGCCCGAAGGGGTCCCAGGAAGCCGTCTTGGTGGCCAGCTGAGGGTCTTTGGGGGTCCATAGCCCTCGAAGTCTGAAGGAAGCGGTCTGTCTCCCCATCTGCGGGGGGTAAGTCGGCCAGTTGAGCCCAGGCCACGCCCGTGGGGATAGGTAGGGGTCTCCTCCTCCTCCTCCTACTCCTCCTCGTCCTCCTCCTCCTCTACCTCCTCCTCCTCCTCCTCCTCCTCCCTCTTCCTCCTCCTCCTCCTCCTCCTCCTCCTCCTCTGAAAAGGCCTCCTCCTTCTCACTTCCCCCTTTCGCTCGCCGCCGAAAGATCTGCTCCGTTGCCCCTGGGCCCCCCCCGCCCCCCCCCCCCGAGGGGGAAACAAGAAATAAAAAAGACGCCTCCGAGGGGAGAAGGACAAACAACAACAAACACAATGACGAGGCCCCCAGCCCCCCCCCCCCCCGGAGGAGGAAACACATAAACAACACATCAATGGAACGCTGCTTTCGCGCCGTGGCGCGGGCCTGCTGCTCATCACAGAGGGGGGGGTAGAGTGGTCTTTTCGCGGGCCGGGCCGGCTGGCCGAGAGTGTGGAGGGGGGTTTCGCAGGGGCTCTGCGCGCGACAGTTTCCCTGGGCGAGCAGAGGTACTGGGTGAAGCCTCGTCCTCGTCATTCTCCTCCTCCTCCTCCTCCTCCTCCTCCTCCTCCCCCTCCTCGTTATCATCCTCTCCCCCTCCTTTTTGTAAACAGCAGCGCCCATGCCCCAGAAGAGCGCAGTGCACATGAAGTCCGTGACGGACAGCACCGAAGTGAAACAGGACCCACACGAACGGTGCGACGTGCCGAGGCGCCACGATCCGAGTACGCCAGCCCAGGACATTCCTGAAGAGATTGCTACCAAACCGCCAACAACGGAGAACTGAAATAACACACAACCCCACGAGGTGCAGAACAACTTGATCTTCGCGGCAGCCACATACAATGATAATCATAATCACCAGGAAGCCCCGAACGAAGACAATACAATGCCAAAGACGCACTGCACCACATAGCAGAAGCCCAATACCCAGAACTCCGAGGCGGACGAAAAGCCAGAATTTGACATGATATCCACTAGCAGGATGCGCACTCGCCTTGTTTTACAGTTTGCCTTGGGTTTTCCTCGGGTTTTCCATGGGAAATCGAAGTTGAGATTCTGGGAAAAAGGGGGCCTCGTTCCTTACTCTGGGTTCCGTAGGTCAACGCCCCGACTGTATCTTGGGGGGTCCTCTGAGGAGAGCCGTGTTGGGGCCATCGTGGGGCCTGCCATGGAACCCCGCTCCTGTGCCAGTCCCGGGCCCGGGCCCTCTCAGGCTCAAGTCGGGCCTGTCCCTCTACTGGAGGAATGTTCAACAAAGAGGCAAACATAGCCTGGGGACGAATTTTTTGACTCTGTTTGACCATTGGAAGATCTTTTGACTGTAGGGGGGGACATGCCCGACCTACTCTTGGGCCCCTCTCTGGCCCCCCCCTGGGGCGCTCTCGTCGGTGTTCTTCGGCGTCTTCTTGGTGTCCTTGAGGGCCATTTTTCTACCCGCTGGCGATAACGGGCGTGACCAGCGGTGGAGTTCATGTTCAACGCGGGGCTTGGGGTACACCGTACTCCTTTCACTCAGGCCTGGGGCGGTCGGCGCATATACCGCTTTCGCCACCGCCCAGACCTCACATTGTGGGCGCAAATGGCCGCCACGGACGCGGGGACCATTTTGCTCTGCAGCGTGCGCGGGGGGCGCGCCCGCGGATATTGGACCACTTTGCTCTGCAGCGTCCCAGCGGGGGAGAGGAGGGAGGGAGGGGACCGGTCACGTCACGATTCGCGCCGGCGCCGTCTGGAAATGCGTAGGGATGGCTAATTCCCAGACGGCGCCGGCGCGAACTGTGACGTGACCAGGGGGGAGGCGGGGGTGGGCGCAGCTGGTCACGGGCCTGTCCATGAATGAAAAACAATTGGTTCTTGCGGGCTCCACCTGCGGTTATGTTGGGCGGCAGTGGAGCAGTCTTGATGCTTCTCGGAAGCGAAAGGGCGCGAAAGCGGATCTAATCGAACAACTCACGCCATGGAGGATATGGACCTTCTGGCGGCCTCCCGGCGCGCGCGCGCGAAGTAGGATATGTTATGACGCCTTTTTGCCCATTTGGCTGACGAACTTTACATCCAGCGCTTTGTTTCAGTCCGGATGTGGTCCATAACCAGGCTTGCGGACGATAATTCGCGTTTTGTGTGTTTCTGTTTACCCCTGTTTGCTTGTAACATGTCGTGGAGGATGGTAAGAAAGGAAGTGGAGCAGTAGGAGGAGAAGTTGAGAAAAAGAAACATCAGAAGAAGAAGCAACAGCAACCACAACTGTCGTTGTAAGCGAGGGCGCTTGCGTGTATCTGTTCTCCCGTCGCTCTACTTGCCCCAGGAGGTGAAGAACGAGCAGGATGCGCGTGCTGCCTTTACAGTCTCTATTTCTCGCCCTTCCTGTACGGAGAGAAGGCGTTTGATGCAGACGCGGTCTTCTAAGTTTGAGTCTTGGACTGGCTGAGTGCCAGTCGGTTATTCCCAGCCATCCTGTGGTGTTGGGTCCTCGTTTTGAAAGACAGTACCCCGCGTCTCCCTCCCGCTGCCCTCCCCCTCATCCCATCCCTGCATCTGCCCTCCGCACGTCCCCATCATCATCATCATCATCATCATCATCATCATCATCATCATCATCATCATCATCATCATCATCATCATCATCATTATCATTATCATTATCATCATCATCATCACCTCATCATCATCATCACCTAATCATCATCATCACCATCATCATGTTCACCATCATCTACATCACCATCATCATCATCATCACCAGCCATCACCATCATCACCATCACCATCGTCATCGCAATCGTCATCGTCATCATCATCATCACCACCATCATCATCATCACCATCATCATCGTAATCATCGTAATCGTCGTCGTCATCATCATCGTCGTCGCCACCATCATCGTCGTCGTCGTCATCATCATCACCAGCCATCACCACATCAGCATCAGCATCGGCAACAGCGTCAGAATCAGCAGCATTATCATCATCAGCATCGTCGTCAGCAGCGTCGTCTTTCCTCTCTGGCCGTGGCCGTGGCCGTGGCGGTGCTGCGCGCTGCCCGCACGGCGCCCGCAGAATGCGCGCCGAGAGGAGGTCGCGCCGCGGCGCCCCGGGCCCCCCAATGGGCATCTGCGAACGGGGGGCAGCTTGAGAAGCTTGCGCGGCACGGCAACCGGGTCTCTGTCGTCTCTTCGGGTCGGGGGTGGCCAAGAGGGGGATGATGACTAGGGGGGGGGATGTTGCTCTTTACTTTCTTCTCACCTTTTTACTAATGCCCCCCCCCTCCAACCCTGGTTTTTGCCGGGTGGTAGGGGCTGGACAGGTGTGCATGGCGACAAACATTTCGACCGCCAGTCGTAGTAGTAGTAGTAGTAGTAGTAGTAGTAGTAGTAGTAGTAGTAGTAGTAGTAGTAGTAGTAGTAGTAGTAGTGGTAGTGGTAGTGGTAGTGGTAGTGGTAGTGGTAGTGGTAGTGGTAGTGGTAGTAGTAGTAGTAGTAGTAGTCGTCGTCGTCGTCGTCGTCGTCGTCGTCGTCGTAGTAGTAGTAGTAGTAGTAGTAGGAGGAGTACGAGTAGGAGTAGGAGTAGTAGGAGTAGTAGGAGTAGTAGGAGTAGTAGGAGTAGTAGGAGTAGTAGGAGTAGTAGGAGTAGTAGGGGTAGGAGTAGGAGTAGGAGTAGGAGTAGGAGTAGCAGTAGGAGTAGGAGTAGGAGTAGGAGTAGGAGTAGGAGTAGGAGTAGTAGGGGGGGTGGATGGCGGGGGCCATGAGATCTCCCCAGATTTCAGAGCGCCTCTTGTTATTCCGTTACGCCCCTGCCCCCCCCCCCAGGCCGCGCACGTGCCGCAGGTCATGATCTGCGCCCCTTCCCTCTTGGACGCCCCCCTCCTAGACGCCCCCGAGAGAAGCTTGCGCAGTACGGCAGCCAGGTCTCGGCCGTCTCCTTCGAAGCCTGCGGCAGCAGGGGAGCAAGCAATGACACACAAACATGACAACTCGGAGGTCCGCGCGGACCTCCGAGTCGTTACGTTTATGCCACTTCGAAACCTTCGACACCTTCGAAACCTTCGAAACCTTCGAAAACTTCGAAACCTTCGAGACCTTCGAAACCTTCGAAACCTTCGAAACCTTCGAAGCCTTCGAAACCTCCGAGTTGTTCCCCCCAGTCTCCTTCGAAGCCTACGGCAGGCTCGGGGCCGTCAGCCGGGCCAGCCTCCTCCGCCGCTGTGCGCGTGGCCGCCCCGCGAGGCCGCGCGCACCACGGAGGTTGGCTCTTGAGCGGGCGCCGTCGGCAGCCGTCGCCGATGTCACGCTGCTGTCGCCGGGCCTGTCTGGCGGCCCAGGGGCCGGGCGGCCCTGCCGCCGACGGCAGGACGAGAACGCGCTGGCGGTGGTAGATGGCGGCTGATGTCCCGTGCGGTGCAGCTGATCTCATCTGATAGTCTGAGTGCCGCTGATCACCATCTTTGCCACCACCACCACCACCATCATCATCAACATCATCATCATCACCACCACCACCATCAGCATCAGCAGCATCATCATCATCATCCGTAACATCAATCTCAACGTCACTATCATCATGTTCACCATCATCATCAACATCATCATCATCATCAGCATCGTCGGCATCGTCGTCATCGTCTGAATCATCATCATCAACAACATAGTCATCATCGTTAGCATCATCATCAGCATCCGCATACTACTCAGCATCATCAGCATCACCACAACTGCCGCCAACGCCACTATCGCCATCACCATCACCATCATCATCATCATCATTATCATCACCATCATCATCAAACTTATTATTATTATTATTATTATTATCATTTTTATTATTATTATTATTATTATCATTTTTATTATTATTATTAATATTATTATTGTTATTATTATTATCAGTATTATTATTATTATCACTATCATTATTGGTATCACCATCGCCATCGTCGTCGTCATCGTCATCACCACCACCGTCGTCATCATGATCATCACGAGCGTCATCGCCAGCGTCAACGTCAGCGTCAGCGTCATCATCAATGGCGTCATCATCTTTGTTATCGTCGGCAGTGCCGTCACCGTCGTCAGCATCACCGTCGTCATCGTCAACGTTACCATCATCGCCATCATCCTTGGCTTGCGGTCGCCCCGCCCATCCCGGCAAATCCCTCTCAAGTGTTGTGGCCCCATGGGGAGCTCCACCGAAGGCCCCCATGGCAGGGTTCGCATGCGGTTCCCGCCTCAGTTTCCTCACACATTTCGCGGCCTCATGAGGGGCTCCACCGAATGCCCCAGTAGCAAGGCTCGCATGCGGTACCCGCTTCCATGTCGGAACAGCTTCATATGTTTCGTTGCCCCGTAAGGAGCTCCACCGACGGCCCCAGTGGCAGGGTTCACATGCGGTAGCCGTCCCCGTTTCGGCGCACGCATCGCACGCTTCGTGGCCGCATAGGGATCTCCACATGCGGTGCCCGCGTCCATTTCGGTACGCCCCGCACATTTCGTGGCCCCATAGCGAGCTCCACCGAAGGCCCCAATAGCGTTCGCATTACCCGCCTCAATTCCGACACGCCCCTCGCGCGCCCCATAGGGAGCTCCGCCCGATGTTCCGCTGGCAGGGCTCGCGTGCGGTAACTGCCCCAATTCGGGCACGCGCCTCACACGTTTCGTGACCGAGCTCCACTGAAGGCCGCGGTGACAGGGTTCGCATGCGGCACCCGCCTCTATTTCCGCACACCTTCCATACGGTTCATAGGGGGCTCCACCGAAGGCCCCAGTGGCAGGGCTCGCATGCGGTTCCCGCCCCCAACTCGTGGCCCCATAGGGAACTCCTCCGACGGCCCCACTGGCAGGGTTCATATAGGGTAACCGCCCTCGTTGCGGTACACACCTGACACTCTTCGTGGCCCCGTAGTGAGTTCCATCGAAGGCCCCGCCGCCTGCTGCCCCCCAGGGCCGTGGCGACAGACGTGCAAATCAACCGTGACGGGTTGCATCCTTCTGTAGTCCGTCACGGTTGACCTCTGCGACCCCATCTTCAATTTCGTTCCCACGCACGCCTCAATTGTTTCTCAACCATCTTGTGGTGTTCGCGGGTCATCGTTTTGAAGAGAGCGCCCCGCTTCGCACCTCCCGCTGCACCTCCATTCCTCCGATCCCTGCCTCTGCCCTCCACATGGTGGCCCCCTAGGGAGTTCCACCAGTGGCAGGGTTCGCATGCGCCTCCCGCGTCCATCACGGCACACCCCTTGCACGCTTCGTGGCCCCAGCTCCACCCAGGGCCCCAGTGGCAGGGTTCGCATGCGCTTCCCCCATCAATTACGGCAGCTCTCTCACACGTTTCGTGACCCCACATGGAGCTCCACCCAGGGCTCCAATGGCAGGATTCCCATGCGTCTCCCCCGCCCACTACGTACACCACTCGCACGTTTCGTGGCCCCATGGGGAGCTCCACCCAGGGCCCCAGTGGCCATCCTTGCATGCGTTTCCCCCGCTTATGTTGCCTCACACTTCACATGTTTCGTGGCCGTAAAAGGGAGCTCCACCGAAGGCCCCAGTGGCACAGTTCCCATGCGGTCCCCTCGCCCATTCCGGCAAACCCCTCACACGTTTCGCAACCCCATGCGGCGTTCCACCGAAAACGATACTCACATCAACGGCACCACAAGTGCATCTGGTTGGGTCCTTCGCCAGGCTAATTTTGTGGCCGCCGGCCCGTGGTCTATTTCGAAACTTGTGACAGGGCCCGCGTTTCGGGCGGACGGTCACCGCCGATCCGCACACATGCAAGGTTTACGAACCGCCGTCGTCTGGCCAGCCTTTCGAGACATCGTCATCGATTCGAGGCGCCTTTGCGGCCGCCTCCTACAACTCTAGCACCGGCAGGAACGTGGCGGGGTGTGCTAGAGCATGTGCTTGGCCTCTGGGGGGCGAATCAGTTTTTCACGTTTTTAAATCTTCATGGAGGGGGGTGCGATACGGCGTCTTATGACGACTGTGGTGGTGATGACGACGACGATGATGACGGTGCCGGTGCCGACGGCGATGTGAGGATGATGATGACGATGATGATGATGCTGATGATGATGAGGACGACGATGATGATGTCTGATGATGATGACGACGATGATGATGTTGATGCTGATGGTGATGATTCTGGTAATGTTGATGGTGGTGGTGGTGATCAGGCTGATGATGATGATGGTGAACACGATGATGATCATGATGGTTGAACTGGGGATGATATTTGGTGGGGATGATGTTGCTGAATATGATCATGGCGATGGCCACGAGGATGAGGATGATGCTGCTGATGATGATGGTGATACTGGTAATGTTAATGGTAACGGTAATGGTAATGGTAATGGTAATGGTAGCGATGATGATGCTGATGATGATGCTGAAACTGATCATGATGATGATTATGATGATGCTGATGATGATGATGATGATGGCGAAGACGTTGATGATGGGGACGACGACGGTGCTTCTTACGGAAAGCTCAGGAGGATGATGTCGACGCCGATTAGACTGGCGATGGTGATGACGATGACGATGACGGTGCTGACTGTGACGATGATCGTGATGCGATGATGATTAGGTGTTGTTGATGACGTTGTTGGTTTGGGTGATGATGCGGATGACGTCGATGAAGACGATGATGAGGACGGACTACGACGACGATGATGCTGATGATGATGATGATGATGATGATGATGATGATGATGATGATGATGATGATGATGCTGATTATTCGGATGGATGGTTATCATGATGATATGATGCATCGTGATCCGTAGCCATGTTGGCTCAAGTTCGAAGCGCTGCCCCGGCGCTTCGAGCTTGGACGCCGCCGAGGGGTTGGCCCGAGCGTCCCGAGGGTAGGCCTCGCAATCTTCTCCAGTCGTGCGCCAAAGCACGCGTCGATCAGGTGTAAGAACCATTTTTCGGATTGCTCCGGTTTCCCCGTCAACCGCGATGTCGGGCTCGTCTGATGTGCTGGCTGCCATTGGGTCGATGAAGAATGAGTTGCTCACTGTGATGGGAGCAGCGAGTGCAAGGACGGGTTCGCTAGAGTTGCAGATTTAGGGCCTGCAGTCTCAGCAAGTCTCATCAGTACAGGAGATGCAGAATTTGGTCAGCACGATGTCGGCGCAGTGGGAGAAGCGTTTCCGGCAGGTGACGGGCTCTTCGATAGTTGTAGACGAGAGTGGCGCCTGGCACGACTGCAACGATAACACCAGTACACCTTCGGCCTTAGCAGCGATCGAGGCCAAGATGGAGGCTAAGTTGGAGAATATTCAATAGCAGCTCTCGACGACTTCTCGTTCGCCGTCGACTGCTGCGAACTCTTCAGCTAGTGGAGGCAGCCGTAAGCGTCCAGCGATGCGCCCATCGCCTGCGTTGTTCGCGGACTCGTTGCAGCACGATGAGAAGGACCAGCACGACCCATGCAGAGTTTGGAGTGGTGGTTGGCCGCGTGATTGCTCTCTTAGTACCACAAAGAGCATAGGGAATGGTAGAAGACTCAGGTCCCTCAGGACGTGGTTGCGGATGCGGAGCCCTCACTCCAGCGTGCGAGTCGTTCTTCCTCGGTGAACCTCCATACAGAGGAAGCGGCGTCGCGATTCAAGCAGTGGGTCTTTACCTCGCCATCTACGTGGAATTACTGCCGTGACAAAGCCAAGACGTTCGCGATCCTTGTTCGCGGTCCGCTGCCAGCTCGCATGAGGAAGAACACCCTGTCATGCCTGTGAGAACCGATGAAGGTGAAGCTCGTGAGCAAAGGCCTTTGGGATGGACCTCTTCGGCTGGTTTGCCCAGGATCTGGACTGGGCCATGTTCAGATCTCAACCGCCGCGAACTCGTGGACGTCATTCGCGCTGAAGATGGAGGACGGCCAATTTCGGATCGCACCGAACCGCGATGAGCTCTATCACTGGAAGTTTTCTGACGCGGAGATTGATTTTATCATCGGCATTGCTGCAACGAATAAGCCATGCCTCCTAGGACGGGGCGTGGCGGATACCACGGACATATCTCGCCAGGCGCAGAGTCAGCTGGGACATGGGGGCGCCGTCCGTGGAGATGATCGCGATCCCGCTGAGCCCCCCCCCCCGTAGCCTGCCGCGCCGACTTTTTTTGATGATCTGTTGCCGCCTGTCTCGTTGCCATCGATTCACGATGCACCGTGCGAGTTGCCATGCCGAGCGTTTGCTGTTCCGTTCTGCCTTCTTTCCCCGTATTCAGTCTGTTCTTGAAACGCTGATCATGTCTATTCGCTCCCTCCGTCAGGGTCGTGCCCAGAACTAAACTGTGCATGTTCGAACGTCTGTGTCTCTTCCAGGATATTGTCGCTACCCAAGATGCCCAAGATACCCGCGGCCACCCAGGTGATATCGACCATCTCTCTATGCAGCTCCCTTCTCACCTCTTTGGCACGTTCTTCCCTGACAGTGTTGTCGCTGGTGGTCTGATCACTGCTGTCAGCAAGAAGTTCGCTATCAATTTGTCGAAGGTCGACAGCCGACCTGATTGAGGGCCGAGTGCTTCTGACTGAGATGCCGGGTAATCGCGGCCAGTGCGACATCGTTAATATCCACATGCCTAACACCTCTGACAACATTTACATATACCGATCTGTGCTTTGCGTGAGCCGCCATGAGGTTCCGATGTCTGCTGAGCATGTATTATTCTGCTTGGGGGACTGGAGTTTTACTCTGGAGGATGAGGGGCATCAGAATGCGCGCGGCGGGCTCTGGGGCCCAGGGGGTCGCAGGCATGCCCAGGCGTTCCACGACATCCTACATCCTGCCTGATCTGATCGAGTTCCACCAAGACATGGACGCGCGTAGGGCCGTTGTAGATGACATGATTGACCACGCAGCGCGGCTGGATCTTATTTATTGCTCGCTGCCCAGTGCCATTCTTGCGGATATGACCATCTCTGCGCCAACAATCGGCCGTCTGAAGATCGATGCGCCGTCTGGCCGCATCCCCGCCGCGTCGAGCATTTCGATGTGCACCCCTGACCAGGCTGAGAGCAAGAAGATTCCGCTGTGGTTGGCCAAATCTTCAGAGTTTGCTGACGAGCTGGACAGGCCCCTACTTGCGCCGCCCGCTGCCAGTGAGAGTGGTGCGCGACTGGCGTGGGCCAAAGCCTGTGTGCCCTCGGCGGTTGCACGCGCCCGTCGACGCATTGAGCTTCGAGTGGCTAGTACTTATGAGGAGTGCCATCATTGGCCTATGGCCGCGCCTCGTGGCCTACTGCTGCAGAGCGCCAATATGATTGTTGATGCCCTTGTTTGCTACCCCAAGCTATCATAATTTATTGGTGGCGCTACTGTTGAATTTGCTGATCTGCCTCTCCTCTGACAGCAAGTACGTGAGCTTTACGTGGAGGTTCTTGATGCCGGGACTTTGGGGCACGAGAATCTCTCTCCTGACTGTTTCCAGAAGCAGAGAGAAGAACAGGGGGCCGCTCGTCGTCGAAGTTTTCGGCAGCAGCTCCGTCCTCGCACCTTCAAGGGGTGGTGGGCGAAAATAACGCGCCCTACCCCGCGCCTGGGGCCTCTGCTGAGGCTCTGGGGCCCCGCTGGGGCGAGGTCTTTTGCGGGCTTCAAGAGGGCCGTCCCAAGTGGCCCGAGCTGCTGTCTTTTGTTGTCCGACAGGTGCCGTTCGGAGCGAATGTGTCTTGGGAAGTGGAGTATGAGACGTTCTTCGGGGACATTCTCAAGACTCGTAAACGTAGCGTGCCTGGGCCTGATGGGATACCTTACTACGGTTGGCGCCTTGGAGATGCCCCGCGGGTTCTGTCTCTCTTTATATTTCTCTCTCTCTCTCTCTCTCTCTCTCTCTCTCTCTCTCTCTCTCTCTCTCTCTCTCTCTCTCTCTCTCTCTCTCTCTCTCTCTCTCTCTCTCTCTCTCTCTCCTCTCTCTCTCTCTCTCTCTCTCTCTCTCTCTCTCTCTCTCTCTCTCTCTCTCTCTCTCTCTCTCTCTCTCTCCCTCTCCCTCTCTCTCTCATTTGGTATGGGGGGGATGGTTTTGCAGGCCGCTGTCGGCCGTGCTCTTGCGGTGTCGCCTGAGTTCTCTTGCGATGCCACGATCGACCTGATGATTCGGATGAGGAGGTGGCTGGGCGAGGTTCCTGAGGATGCCGCGCTGAAGGTTTCAAAAGCTGTCAAGTTTGTGATTCGTAAGTCTGGGCTTTATCTGGGCTTCACTTTTTTTGCGAATACTCACCAGAGGTTGAACGCGTCTGCCAGATTTCACTCCCAATATCACGGATGTCTTTTCGGATGCTGTGCTGATACGTGTGTCCCTACTCTCATTGACTTAGACGATATTGCCCACTGCTCACGCTGCTCACGATTCTATTGGATATGTGAACGTTGGCTCGGAGAACTGATGCCCCCCTTCTCTGAATCTCCTCCCTGGCTTTTCTCTTCGCTCCCGACACCAGACCGGCCTCGCACGGTGCTGCTTTTCACGGCTGCCATGCTTGACGCGTTTATGTTTGCTCATAATTGCCGCCATCGCCAGCTTTCGTCGGGCAGCGTGTCTCAGCAGATTCACGTTC